GTCTCTAACACATTTGGAAGTTTTCTTATATAACCACAAGACTATTATCATATTTAACAAAATCAGTGATAATTCTTTGGCATTATCTAATACTCAATTTCCCCAAATGTCTCAAGAATGTCTTTTTTTAATCAGATGTATAGCATGCAAATATTTTCTCCCATTGTGTAGGTTGTCTATTCGCTCTATTGATTGTTTCCTTGCTGTGCAGAAGGTTTTTAATTCAATCAGGTCTCATTTATTTATTTTTGTTGTTGCTGTGATTGCCTTTGAGGTCTTCATAAATTATTTGCCTAGGCCAATATCTATAAGAGTTTTTCCAACCTCTTCTTCTAGAACTCTTATAGTTTCATGTCTTAGGTTTAAGTCTGTTATTCATCATGAATTAATTTTTGTGAGTGGTGGGAGGTGCAGATCTTGTTTCAGTCTTCTGCATGTGGCTATGCAATTTTCCCAGCATGATTTATTGAATAAGAATTCTTTTCCCCAGTGTATGTTTTTGTCTGCTTTGTCAAAGATCAGATGGCAATATGAGGATGGTTTTATATATGTATTCTCTGTTCTGATCCATTGGCCTATGTCTGTGTTCCTGTGCCAGTCCTGTGCTGTTTTGGTTGCTTGTTTTATAGCTTGAAGTCTAGTAAAGTGATGCTTCCTGATGTTTTCTCTTTGCTTAAGGTAGCTTTGACTATTCAGGGTCTTTTCTGGTTCCATATGAAACACAGAATTATTTTTTCTAGATATTCAAAAAATGACATTTGTTTTTTAATGAAGGTTGCATTGAATCTGTGAATCACTTTGGGTAGTATAAGACATTTTAACAACGTTGATTCTGCCAATCCATGAGCTTGATATGTTTTTCCATTTGTTTATATCCTCTGTGATTTCCTTCCTCAGTGTTTTGTGGTTCTCCCTGTAGAGGTCTTTCCCCTTATTGGTTAAATATATTCCTAGGTATTTTATTTTCTTTGTTGCTATTTTGAAGGATATTGAGTCTTTGATTCTCAGCTTGACTGTTGTTGGTGTATATGAATGCTACTGATTTGTTTACATAGTTTTTATAACCTGAGACTTTGCTGAATTTTTAAAATCAATTCCAGGGCCAGGCGCGGTGGCTCGCGCCTGTCATCCTAGCACTCTGGGAGGCCGAGGCTAGTGGATAGCTCAAGGTCAGGAGTTTGAAACCAGCCTGAGCAAGAGCAAGACCCCATCTCTACTATAAATAGAAAGAAATGAATTGGTCAACTAATATATATAGAAAAAATTAGCCGGGCATGGTGGTGCATGCCTGTAGTCCCAGCTACTGAGGAGGCTGAGGCAGCAGGATTGCTTAAGCCCAGGAGTTTGAGGTTGCTGTGAGCTAGGCTGACGCCACGACACTCACTCTAGCCTGGGCAACAAAGTGAGACTGTGTCTCAAAAAATAAATAAATAAATAAAAGTAAAAAAAAAAAAAAAAAGATCATATTATCAACAAAGAGTGACTTGTTGCCCCATTTGGATACCCTTGATTTCTTTCTGTTGCCTGATTGCTCTGGCTGGGACTTCCAGCACTATGTTGATTAGAAGTGTGACAGTGGGCAGCCTTGCCTGGTTCCAGTTCTAAGTGGAAATTCTTTCAATTTTTCCCCCATTCAGTATGATGCTGGCTGTGGGTTTGTCATGTATGCCTTTTATAATATTGAGATAGGTTCTGTTTATGCCTATTTTGTTAAGAGTTCTTATCCTAAAAGGGTGCTGAATTTTGTCTTTTTGTGTGTTTTTTAACATATTCTGGATATTAACCCCTTATTGGATATATGATCTAAGATTGTCTTTTTACAATTGGTCTGTTTGAACCAGGATCCAACAAATTCATACCATATTAGTATTATACATTCGATTGTTATGACTCAAGTCTTATCCAATCTGGAGGAAATCCTCTTTCTGTTTCTCTCCCTTGTCATTGACTTGTGGCAGAATCCAGGTCCACTGTCATATAGAATTACAGTTTGTTTTGTTTTGTTTTGTTTTTGAGACAGTCTCACTCTGTCACTTGAGCTAGAGTGTTGTGGCATCAGCCTACCTCACAACAACCTCAAGGTCCTGGGTTCAAGGGATTCTCCTGTCTTAGCCTCCCGAGTAGCTGGGATTACAAGCGCATGCCACCATGCCCGGTTAATTTTTCTATTTTTAGTAAATATGGGTCTTGCTCTTGCTCAGGCTGGTCCTGAACTCCTGGGCTCAAGCAATCCTCCTGCCTCAGCCTCCCAGAGTGCTAAGATTACAGGTGTGAGCCACCACGCCTGGCCTAGAATTATAGTGTTTTATTTTAACTATGCTGCTGCCTTCCAAAATTTCTTGCTTTTGCCTTTGTTAATTTCAGCAGCAAATTTTCCCTATCGGAAGATGAAAGTTTCTCTGTCAAAGTTTCCTAGAGGACTAAAACTGAAAATGAGAAGAGGAAGCTGTACCCACATTTGGGAACCTAGCCAATGGGAAGGTGGGCTCTGGAGGGAGGCAGGTGTGAGGGCTGTGAGGGTCAGAGACTGTGAGGAGTGCACACTGGGGCCAATAGCCTGGCCTGAGAGAGCAGAGGCTTTTCCCATGAGGGGACTGGTGTTACTCAGAACCCCGCATGCCCAGAAGCAGGCCCAGGACTGTCTCCTCAGCTGTGGGTGGCACTGCCAGGGCCACATGGTGGCTCTGCTTCCCAGGGTATGCTGGAGAGGACGGTCCTATCTCAGGGCTGCCCTGAGTACACAGGGCCTTCCCAGGAGTCCCTGGGGGCACGGGGCAAGGCTGGGGAGCCTACAGCATCCAAGTGGTTCAGGAGCCAGGATGTGGTAACAGATAGAGAGAGGAGAGAAAGTTACAGGCACCATTGAGAGGAAAGAAAGTTACAGGCACCGATGATAGTGTCTGAGCACTCTAAAATGTCATGAGAGTTTATCTCTGTGATTAGTATTATGGGGTTTTATTTCCTTAATATTTTCCAAATTTTCTTGAATGAAGAGTGAAAAATGAATACATTTTCTTTAAAAGTAGATCAATACCCTTAGGGTTAACATAGCTATGCCCAAAGGAGACCATTAGTAATAATAGCTTAGTTCTCAGGAGATCTGTGGCCGGAGTGGGGGTCCTCCACACTCTCCTTGGCCTCTAGGTCAGCCCCTATCCACAGGCTGGGCCAGACAGGAGCATAGCGCAACCCAGAGATGACTCAGCATGGCTGGAAGCAAGCAGTCCCCAGAGTGTCAGGAGCTGAATTCAGTATTTCTGGTTCTGCCTGCAGCCCTGCTTTGGCCTAACCTATGAAGAGGGGCTCAGCTTTCAGGAAGCCCTTGCCAAACCCACTGGAACCCACCCAGTGGGCTAGCTTCTTTTGCCAAGGAGAGCCTTACCCTATGTTATTACTTCCAAACTCCTTCCACACACACACATGTTCCCAAAATAGAATGTCCTTTAATTATAAACCCAGGACACAGGAGGAATGGCAAACACAAGGCATTTCTCAGATATCTTTGAAATTTTCACAATGCATACAAAACAGATGTAGAAGATGCTTTCTTGAAATTGCTTTTAAAATGCCCATTATCAAAGGTGGACAGGTGCATGGCAGCTGCCAAGATGATGCAGAGAGGGGCCTCCATTCCCTCCCGAGACCCCGAGGGAAGGCACCTTGTTCCAACCTGGCTGGAGGTAGAGCAAAGAATAGACTCGTTTTCTATTGGATTTAGGGTCCTGGGGTCTGCCCTGGGGAACAGACACCCGAGACCATGACATTTTCTCCCAGGAGGAGAGCTTGAGAGTAATGTAAAAATTGCCCTGGGAGGGAGATCACCTGTTTTGTGAGTTCACACAGCTCTCTTCCTCTCCCTTCGCTTCACTGAGGATATAAATACCAGCACATTGGGTCCTTTCCAGAGTTTGGTTTCAATGAGTAGGAAAGAAAGAGAAAAGGAATACAAGAGTGCCCCATCTTTGTTTAGAGAGATAGTTAGGTCACCTAGCCATTGCTGGGAGCTGTACCCAGGCAAACATGTATGCAGGTGCCTGTGTGTGTGAGGGTACATGTACATGCATATATATGTCTGTGTGTGTGAGTTTGTATGTGTCCACATGCCCACAAGTTTTTGGGCAGGGGCTCTTGTGTGGTTGCTGGTTTGTTTTTGTTTTTTTTTATTTTGAGACAGAGTCTCACTGTTACCCGGGCTAGAGTGCCGTGGCGTCAGCGTAGCTCACAGCAACCTCCAACTCCTGGGCTCAAGCAATCTTCCTGCTTCAGCCTCCCAAATAGCTGGGACTACAGGCATGCACCACTATGCCCGGCTAATTTTTTCTATATATATATTTCTAGTTGGCCAATTAATTTCTTTCTATTTTTAGTAGAGACGGTGTCTCGCTCTTGCTCAGGCTGGTTTCGAACTCCGGAGCTTGAGCAATCCTCCCGCCTCGGCCTCTCAGAGTGCTAGGATTACAGGCGTGAGCCACCATGCCTGGCCTCTGTGGTTGCTGTTTGTAAACAAATGTGTTAAGGCAATCAAGGTGCAGAAGTTGGTGGGAAAGTTTTCTGTGTGTGGCCATGGAGGAAAGTTCCCTGCTCATATTGCTATGGTGACCCAGCCCCAGAATCCATATTTGATGGTATGCCAGAGGCCAGGGTCCTATCTCACACCAGCTGGAGCTGAGAAGGTGACCACAGGCATGTCGACAGGTGGAACTGAAAAGCAGCCCCAGCTGTACATGCCAGTCTCTTCAGGGACTTGACACTGCTGAAGGTGGGGCAGAGGCTGGGAGGAGTCAAAGATGCAAATGAGAGATGGACCCATTAGGGAATCGGGCTCAAGGCAGGATCTCCCTGTGCTGGGCCAGCCTGCTTCCCCACTGCCCAGTGGGCAGGAGGAAGTAGAATGTGAGGCATGCAACAATGCACTGATGCGTCAGTGGGCACCACTGTGGAAGCCGCTGCCAGGGTCCCAGCAGCAGCCAGCTCTCCCTCAGCCAAGATTTATCTCCCCCAGGAGACTCGGAGCAATGCTTCACCATTTCCTCCAATCAATCGTTCAGTTACTGCCTGTTCTCCTATCCTACTTCTTAAGTGGGGAAACTGAGGCCAAAGATGTATGGCTCAGAGCTAGCCCTACTGGTCCTCCTCGTAGTACCAGCTGGTCCTGTTCTTCACTGTCCTGGCTGATAACCCAGCAAGTAGATGTGCCACTCACAGCCACTGGTTCCATGCAGGGCGTGGGATGTAATGGTACCCGGCAGCTGCAGATGTGTCTGTGGAGTTGGCATCTCCAGGAATTAAGAGGCAAGTAGAGCACAGATTCTCCCTACAACTGAAGAAGGAAGCAGGGGCAGAAGTACGTGGACAGGCAGATAGATGCATACACAGCCAGGGTCCCAGGGCAGTCTTCAGGGCAGGGACAAGGCCTTGGCAAGGCGAGTCCAGAACCAGGACTTAGTGCAGGGGTTGGTGTAGTCACAGACAGTGATGAACCGCAAGATGCTGGGGAATTCTTTCTTCATTGACTTGTACTTGATGGGGATCAGTCGCTTCTGATGGGCACCTGCAAGCCAGGGGGGTACCACGTTGGCATCAGGCCCTTGCCCCATGGTAGGGCAGGCCCAATGCCCAACCCAAGGGTTAACAGCAGCCCTCCCCCAACTAGGCACCCTGGCACATACGTGTACACACGCTCAGGTGTGCAGAGATCTGCAGGAGTTCCTTGGTGCTGCATCCATAGCCTTTGGGGAGGGAAAACTAGCATCCTGAGGCCTCACCCACCCACTCCTCTCTGGCCAGAGCAAGGTTAAGCTTACCTGGAGAGAGGCTGAGTGCAAATTTGGTCTGGAAGTCACATTCCTTACTCTGCAGGTAATCGTCAGAGACAACTACCACCATCCGGCGGCACCTAGGGGAAAGTGGGCAGGCTGCAGGCCCTGTGGAGACTGTGTTCAGCACACACCCAGGGGACAGCCTCTGGAGGGGCTCACTGTGCCCAGGCTAGACAGTGCCCAGCTGGAAGGAGACACCCAGCATGTGGACCCCTGGGTTTCATGCAGCCACCCACCTACCCACCCTTTGGTCCCCCAGCCAACCTTTTCTCAATGAGCTCACTGGCAATGGACCAGACACAGGTGCCAGGCAGGACATCACGGTCGGACACACATAACTTCAGCCGATAGTTTGTCTGTTCTAGTTGCCGGATCATCTCTTGCACAAACTGGATGTCGTTGGGGCAGTAGCAGATGAAGGCATCAAAACGCTCGGGCATTTGCCCTGGGTGCAAAGCACAAGGGTGATGGTCAGAGCTCCAAAGAAAGGCTGGAGAGGAGCCTAGCCAAGCGTCCTCAGCCTAGGCAACCCAGGTGCTGGGCCCTACACCCATCCCAAGATGACTAGTCAGAGAAAGGGCCCTTCCCAGGAGAGGAAAGATGAGTACTCCTGTGGACCAAGCTCTGGATTAACCATAAGACAGACACATCATTTCATGAGTCTCATATCAACCCCGAGGCTCAAAAACGTTAAGTGACATCACCATGGTCCCACAGCCCATCTGTTTCCAACATCCATGCTTTTAACACCACAGTGTCCTATGGCCCACCTGTTCCACGTGTCCCATGGGAACAGTGTCAGACTCTTACCCAGGGGATCATCGAGTGTGGTGATGCCTGCCAGCTCCACTGTCCGTGGGACACTGCTGTCTACAGCAGCCACCTGCAAGGGCTTCTCAGACTCCTCCTGTTGCTGCTTCAAAATATACTTTTGGCAATCCTCCTCTGTGGGGAAGAGACAGGGTGTGGCAGGCTCCCCAGGAGTGGCCCACCCCTCTACCCACAGTCAGGATCCAGCCCCTGTTCCACCTCGCCTGGCCTTGTGTTCCAAAGCTTCTCCAGCCCACCGGTGCTAGCTATCTGCAGCTTGACCAGCTCTGAGAAGTTGAGCTCCCACTGGTTCTGACTGTCCCAAAGGATGCCAATAGTGTTCTGGCTATCTGGGAAGCCACCAAGGTGAGGCTTATACTTCTCTGTCCCTCTCTAGGGTTCTAAGAATGAATTAAGGTAGGTTGGCTTATTCTGGGATCCAGGGTCAAATGAGAGCAAGGGGCTTGGCATGCAGGAAGGGCTAGGAGACCCAGTCATTACAGTGCAGTGCGGGCAGTGTGGGCCCCAACCCAGCAATGTGTGCCTGTCTGCGGGCAGCTGTACCGAATGCCTAAGCATGTATGTTATGTAAGTGCCGGCGAGTGGCAGAACGGGCTGCATTTTCCCAGGACCTGAGGTTTCCAAGACAGTCAGCTTCCAGTCCCTCACCTGCCCTGTTGCCCTACTTAAAACAGCCCAGATGCCCCCAGAGAAACCTGATTCTAACTCCTGACCCTACCTGAAAGTCTTTGCCTAAGCTGCTTCCTTCCCATCTCTGCCTCTTACGGCCTTCGCAGCCCTTCTCCCGTCCCTATCATGTCCTGGATATGGAGAGGGAACTGGACCCTCACAGTTCTTCCTCCGCAGGCTTCTCCAGACCCCCAGGCAGGAAACGGGGGCCTCTCCGGAGAAGACTGAATGCTGAGGCAGGTGAAGGTCAGCCCCCTCACCCGTCCCCCACCCCCACCCCAGGTATGAGGCCAGGAGGGGGTTGTCCTCACCAATGCTGGGTCTCAGCTCCAGCAGCACGTCGTCGCGGCCCAGCTTGGCGAGCAGCTCCAGCAGTCGGCCTACCGAGGCTTCGGGACGTCCCTGCCAGGCTTCCAACAGTCTGCCCGTAGGGTCGGCGAACGTCTCCAGCTGTCGGATCTCCAAGTACTCAAAGCCCATCTCCTCCGCCAGAGCGGTCCAGTCGGCCGCCACGGGTGTCCGCACATTCAAAAACAGCGACAGACGGCGCCGCACCCGCATGTTGAGCGCAGCCAGGGGTAGGGAGGCCGTGGAGGAGGCCGGGGTCGCGGACCCCGCGCCGGGACCTCCTGCAGCCATGGCGGGCCGCGCTGGAACCTCGGCGCTGCCGGGTCGCGGAGCCAACCGGCACTTCCTCTTTCCCCTCGGGTTCCCACCGCGCCCCGCCCCGCCGGCTTTCGCTTTCCGAGAAGTACCGCCCAGCCCTACAATCTGGAGCCCCGTGCAGATGTGCGGAGGTGGGGGCCCCCATCCCTGCCCTCGCGGTCTCGGGGGGCCGGTGGATGTTGGAACCTGGAACCTACCTTTTGAGGTTTCGGGAGGTCCACGTAACTGCCCTCGAGGGTCGTAGGTGGGCGGCGGGGAGCGGGGTCGGGCGAAGGGGGACGACCCTCATTTGGGGGTTGTAGGAAACGGGCCTTGCTCTTTGGGATCTGATGGAATCACATCCCTTCCACTGGGGATCCGAGGGGTACATACGGCCCTGCCCTCAAGGATGGCTGGCAGAGACAAGGGAAGAGGCACCTGCTCTGCACCCCAGGATCACTGGGAAGTCGCAGTCCTTTCTGCAGGAGTATGGGGGAGACCTGCTGTGCCCCCGAGGTGGGAGTGGGAAAGCGGGGGTCCGAGGCACGCCGTGGGCCTGCCCTCGAAAGAGGTGTGTGTGTTGCGACCCTGCCCTTCAGCGTTGGGGATCACAGGTGTCTAGGGAAAATCCAGTACTATTCTCCAGGGTCTCAGGTAAACACACGGCCCCTGCCATAGGACGTCAAGACGGCACGTGACCTTGCTCTTTAGGGTTGAGGACACAGTTCTGACTTGGGGAGCCCTGGTTCATTCATTTATTCAACAGGTATTTATTGATCATCTACTAAGTGTCAATCAAGTGCGTAGCAGGCTCCCCGGACACAGGGTACCTCTCTGCCTTGGTGGAGACCCCAGCCTAGTGGGGAAGGTGGACACTAATCAAATCATTCCTGTTGGGTATAACATTGGTAAAACAATCGTGGGGTGTTCCCTCTCCAGTTAGAAAGTTTGTCGGTTCTCCCTGCTGGCCTGGAATTCTCAACTATTCGGGTCTTCACCAAACACTTTCTGGCAAAGTCCAACCACGGGGCGTCTCGGAAGTATTTAGGTCCCCTGGCTCGGGAGCTGGGCCCCTGGGGATGGCAGAGCCGACTAGGAGCAGGGTAGAGGAATTCCAGTCCCAGCTTCCTTCTCCACCCCGAGCACAAAGTCATAGGCCGAGCTCCTGGCCCTCCCGCCTTCTGTTTGACGTCGGGCAGTGGGCAGGGCTTTTGGAGTCCCGCCTCGGGTTTGGCAGCAAAAGGTTGCAGAAAGTGGAAAGGCTATGGTCTTCATTTGTGGGCGGGACTTCAGAAGGACCCACCTCCTGGTTGGCCGCGGGAGGCTACGGTAGGCGGGGCTTTGGGTGGAACGCTCCTCTCGGTGGAGACCCTGGGCTTGGCCTCGGAGGGCCTGTGACCAACGGTAGGGGTTGGGGGCGGGTGCTAAGGCAGTTCGCCTTCTGGTTGGCTGCGGTGAGGTGGGCGGGACTTGTGGAAGGACGTTTGCGTTGGTCCGCAGGGCTGTGGGCGGGGTTTAGGCCTCGGGGCTGCGGTGTGGTTCTGCGCCTGCGCGGGCAGCGGTTTGTTAGCTCCGACGGTCAGTTCCCGGGCAAGTGGCTGGTCTATGGGGCCGAGCGGCGCGATGCGGAGGCTGCAGGTAGTGCTGGGCCACTTGAAGGGCCAGCCGGATTCGGGCTGGGAGCCGCAGGCCGCTCCGTGCTTGAGCAGCCACCCGCAGGCCTCCGCCGCGGACGTGGTGGTGGTGCACGGGCGGCGCACGGCCATCGGCAGAGCGGGCCGCGGTGGCTTCAAGGTGAGGCCCATCGGTTCGGGCGATGAGTGTGAGAAGACGGCCGGGCGGGCTGGGGTCCGGCTCGTCTGCTTGGTTCCCCTCGACGCCGGAGGCAGCTCCGCGCCCGAGCTGTGGTCGCTTTGCCTCCCGGGGTGGGCGTAGGGGAGTGGGCGTCACCGCGGCTCCTTTTCCCGCTGCAGGACACCACCCCCGACGAGCTTCTGTCGGCCGTCATGACGGCGGTTCTCCGGGACGTGAAGCTGAGGCCGGAGCAGTTGGGGGACATCTGCGTAGGTGAGCGCACCACCCAGGCCCTGCGCTGAGCCCTCCCCGCTTTCCCATTCCTGAAAAGCCCACCCCACATTGAATTTTCACTGAGGGGAACATCGATGGCCTCCACCTTCAGTCCTACACTACTTCCCACCCCTACACCTGCAGCCTTGACATATAACAACATAATATGGCGCCAGAGTCTCGTCCAGTCGGTGCCTCCTCTAGGTCAGGAATCGGTTCCGCCTCTCTAGAGTGACTGCAGGGCTTGGGGGAGGACGCTCAGGGAGGTGTGCATTTTCAGAAACTCATTTCTCTAACTGACAGGATCAGTTCTGTTAGACTTTAAGTTTTGCATTGCATCCTTTCCTTAAAGTCTTCCATGTTGCCTTTAAAGACAGGTAACCTGCCCATCTGTGCTGATTTGGAAAAGCAGGGTGCATGAGCAAGTGCGCTTGGGACCCTCAGGGACAGGAGCTGGTGTATGACCAGGACAAACTGTTGTATGGCTGGCTCTCCCTGCTCCAAACGCTGAAGTTCTGGAGTGGCAAATGAGCGTACCTACTAAGGGCTAGTCTTGAAGACCTGGAATGTCTCCTCTCTGGTATTCACAACTATATCTTAGTGCCCAGAATGTCACCAGGCACTGAATAAAGGTTTGTTGTCCACAGGAAATGTGCTTCAGCCTGGGGCCGGGGCAGTCATGGCCCGGATCGCCCAATTTCTGAGGTAAACTTTTCTAGTTCTAGCTCTGGGTTGGCCACTGTGAGTGGGCCCAGGGCCCAGGGAACTTGGCCTGTGGGTGGGGGAGGATCCCATTGGATGTTAGACCTTGACGCAACCAGAATTCTTAGCACTTTCCTCTGGTAGATTCAACCTTTCTCCTGAGTTTGAAGCACGGGTGTATTACCCAGTGCTGAGCCAAGACAGCTGGGGCCTTGGGGACTGAAGCAAAAGTTCTCTGTGGCTTGATTTTTAGCCAAAGCCAGCTTGTTGCTTGCCTATTTAAAGTGTGGACTCTGTACTCATTTGTCATGTAAATAACCAAGTAGGCATGCTGAAGAGTGACTTTGAGCCTTTATGCCAGTTGAGCAAGCTGGGAACTCTAGTCATATCAGCAGACGTGGAGATAGGACAGAACTCTGGAGAAGGAGGCAACCCTGGGAAACTTGCACTTAAACACCTGCTGTCCCAAGGTGGAGGAGCAGTGCTTAAGTTATTTTCATGTGCAGATTTAAGAATTTCTTAGCTTTGTACTTCCATCTGCTTGGTGAGAAATAATAGGAACATTAGCCGGTGAAGCAACAGGGAAAACAAAATCCTCTAGGAACCAGGAGAGGTTCAGACTTTAGCCTGTAGTTCAAGGCCACCTGCAATCTGGCTCCAGACTTACCTTCCAGCCTCATCTCCCAGCTGCTTACTTGCCTTGACTTATCTTCTTTCAGCCAGCCTGTTTGCCTACTATCCTTCCCTCTTCTGGTCATTTTGTCCCCTGGAAGTGCTATCCCTACCTCCTCTGTCTGCCTTAGCTAAAGCCTATCCAAATACAGTCTCACCATTGTAGCATGACTTAGCCAAGCTCTCAGGCTTAAAATAAGAGCCTCTTACCTCCAGTAGCTAGCCAAGTACTTCCTTGTGACGTGGTTTTGCCATCTTGCCCTGTTATTTCAGTCTCTGCTAGTTGATTCATTTTCTGTGTGTTGCTAGGGCACAGTATTCTAAGCATCTCAGCATCCTTCAAGTGGTGCCTCGTGCTAAGTATGTATTTAGTGAACCTTTGGTGGATTGGGTGAAGGAGTAGGAACTAGATAATAGGGAGTTAGGGGACCTGGGAGGCGTTAAACAGGCTGTACAGGCCTGCAGAGCCTGGCCTGGCTCAGGGGTTCCCAACATTGGCTGCACACCAGAATCACCAGGGTACTTTTACTCCCTTCTGTTCTGAGGCCATGGGTCTGCAGAAGGCCTAGAGATTTCCCTAGGGCTTTGTACTGTTGGCCGAGGCAGGTTACATCAGGAGGGACAACCTTACTAGCATCCAGGGGTCAGACCAGTGTGAGAGCCTGAGGGACGCCCCCCCCCCCCAGCAAGGGATGTTAGACTACATGGTGTCCATCAGACTTCTTTATCCAGCTGGGAACAGGCTCTCAGGAGTGAATGGGAACGTGAAGCGTTAGCCGTATGGTTACTAGTAAGTCTGAAAGAGTGAGGATGGCCTCTGGCCTCAGACTTTAGGCGTTCCTTTTGCTCTGGTGCTCTGTCCCAGTAACAGGCCCTCTTCTCTCTTCTTTGGGGGAAACAGACATGCATAGTTTTCATTTTGAATCTTCAAAAAGAGAAAATGAAGGATTCCTGTTGCCCAAACAGGCTTCTCTTGCCTTTGGACTGTGGTTGGCCTTTGGTTGAGGAGAGTCATAGAAGGGAGGACATATGCCTGTGGGACCCTGGGGAGCAAGAGCCTGCAGAGATGGGGTCCCCCAGTAGTTGCCCACTCCCCATTCCATGGATCTGGCCTGGCATGGGGTCAGGGCTGCAGGGTTTGTTTCCCTGGTCTTTGGGGGCAGTTAGAAGCACAGGCCCGACTTCCATGAGAGCCTGGCAGGGGAGAGGGGACTCACTCTACTGTCTTACCTTCTGTTTCAGTGACATCCCAGAGACTGTGCCTTTGTCTACTGTCAACAGACAGTGTTCATCAGGGCTACAGGCAGTGGCCAGCATAGCTGGTAAGTTGGGACTGAGTGGGTGCCCACTGACCCAGCCTGGCCTTGGTTCTGGCCTCATGGGTTGGGTCAGCAACGTCGCTGATTGCTGGGCAAGCAATCAGGATTTCTGAGAGGACTCTAACCACAGAAAGAGTGAAGGAATACCCCAAGCCTTTTACTGAACACTCCTGGGCCTTTCCTCTCTGAGGCTGGGGCTGAGTCCCACCTAGAGACCCGGTGGGGAAGAGGCTCTGCTGCTTCCAGAACAGATGGACTCTGGCAGAGGATGTTTATGAAATGCTTTTGTTGCAGGTGGCATCAGAAATGGGTCTTATGACATTGGCATGGCCTGTGGGTAAGAATTTTTTTCTGCTGGAGCTTATTAACCAACTTATGACAATAAAACTAATTTTCATCTCCTGACTTCTCGGAGGCCATGATTTCAGGATTCCTC